TAATGACTACACATAATGTGGTACTCTGGATGAGATCCTGGAAAAGAAAAAGGACATTAGGGGGAAAATGAGGAAACTGGAATAAAGTATAAACTTTAGTTAGTAACTATGTATCGGCAGGGGGTCATTAATAATGACAAATGTACCATATTAATGTAAGATGCTAATAATAAGAAACTAGGTGTGGGGTATGTGGGAATTCTCTGTACTATCTTTGCAAGAATTCCAGGTATCTAAACTTGTTCTAAAATAAATGTTTACTAAAAAAAAGAAGATAGTCTGAACAAGGGACTGCCTTGCCAACACCCTCTACCCACACATCATGCCTACTGCATCTCAGCAGGGCAAAGGAATTTTTGGTGTGGAACATCTATTGGGAAGAGGGAAGTAGCCAGGGGTGATGCTTCCATAGGATCATGATCTCCAAAAAGAGTAAAAGAAGTACCTGGTGTCAGCCATTCAAACACCACTGTTGATATTTAAGATAAGGACCGTTGAAGACCCCCAAAATCTCTTGCAGATCTCTTCCACATTGCCTTGAGAATATACAGAACTTAACTTACACCTCAGACATTACCCTGACAATGAGAATGTTAACAGGACGCCTTAGGATACAATTAAGGAAACCTCAACTTGACTGACTTAAATAATAAGGAAAAATTTTGTATCTCACATAACAAGTGCCAATATTCTATTGCAGTATTCTACTACATAATCTTCAGTGTTTCATTCATTCTTCAGCTAACTCTCCTGGCTCTCTGGTTGTCTCCATTTCAGATATCACATGCAGAAGGAACAACATCTGGCAGGAGAAGGACCACCTCTTCAAGTGAGACTCTTTTGAAGAATGTTTGTCAGATATTTTGTAGAATGTCTCTCAGTATGAGTTTGTCTAATGCTTTCTCATGATTAGACAGGGGATTTTAGATTTGGGGTAACAATATCATAGAGATGCAAGTGTGATTCTTTTAAGGAGCTAGGAAACTTCCCCCTCACACAACTTACCAGTCACATATATCATAAGCCCCTTCCTAAATTAATCAGGAGGAAGAATAATGAAATTATCAAAATGACTTTAGACCAACCAGGACTTAGTGCTGAATCACAATGGCAAGGATATACACCAAACAAAATAGGGCTGGTCTGCAAAAATGAAGGGGGTGTGAATTAATACTGAGCAGGCCATCACCAGTGTCTACAGGTAAAACCTTGCAAGGCAGAGCCTTTACTCAAGACTACATTAAATGAAGAAATTTGTTTTAAAATTAGAAGAGACATCTTTCATTGTCCAATTTACTCCTTCTTCCAATACTATCACCACCCAGACGGATTTTAGATCAGTTATAGAAAATAAGAGAGTTTCAGGCTTTGTTTTTTCTATAATCTGATTTGTAATGTGTCAAGTTTGATACTTCTACATATATGATCTCAAATCTGTAGAATACCTATGTAGGTACTAAGATCTCCATCTTAGGGGTGCCTGGGTAGCTCAGTTCATTAAGCATCCGACTTTGGCTCAGGTGATGATCTCGGTTCGCGAGTTCGAGCCCCGCATCAGGATCTGTGCTGACGGCTCAGTCTAGAGCCTGCTTCAGATTCTCTCTCCTCTCTCTCTGCCCCTCCCCACTTGTACTCTGTCTCTCTCAAAAACAAATAAACATTAAGAAAATTAAAAATAAAAATATTTAATAATAAAAGAAAAAGATCTCCATCTTACAGATGAGGAAATGAGTCCAAAGTAGTTTAATAACTTGCCCAACATCACAGCTAGAAACTGAATTAGAATTCTAAGCTATATCTGCAGTCTTCAAAGCTTGAAATGTTTTTTAAGCTACCATATACTTCCTCAGATATCGAGGGAGTAGAAACAATAAAGGAAACACCTCTAACAGATAAATTTCATCCACAACTCATCTAGACCAAGATGACCCTTTCTATTACAGCTTAAAGAATAAACATGCATATGTACTCCAACAAAGATGCTATAGCTAGCTTAAAATATGGAACTGACAGACAAGTAAAAGATTTAGATTTGTGAGCCAGCTGCATAAATTAGCCAAACAAAAGTAGTTAAGATGCCTTGGGCAACACTTCCCAAACTAGTGTGCTTTGCTGGATTTTTCTGTACCATGGTAATAATTAGGCCATGAAAATAGTAATCTGTGATCAAATGAAGTGAGAGACTCGGTGAAGCAAAATTAAACAGATTTCTCAGAGCCTTTATACACTAGCAAGCATTATGAACTCTAAGAAGAATATATTCTACTAATATTATTTACAATTTTTTTAGGTTTATTTATTTATTTTGAGAGCAAGTGCAGGGGAGTGGCAGAGAAAGAGGGGGAGAGAGAGAGAATGTCAAGCAGGCTCCTCACTGTCAGCACTGACATGAACAATGAGATCATGACCTGAAATGAAATCAAAAGAACACTTAACCAACTGAGCCCTCCAGGGGTTCCCTCAGTATTTAACACTTACTTTGAAAAAAGAAGGTTTTTCTTTTTAATCCCGACCACTTGTAAACAATTTCTAGGAGAGTATTCTGTTTAACAACATTTTGAGAAATACTACTCTAATTAGGGGAAGCAAAGGCCCAAGAATAGAATCCATTATTAGGGGGCTGGAGGCAGGCAAACAAACAAACAAATCCAATAAAGAATACAGTGAAGAAGGTAGGAAGTAAATCTAGATAATTCAGTATTATAGAAGCAACAAAGGAGATGGTTTCTAAAAAGACAATCAGCAAAACTAAATTACTGAGAGATTAAATAAATTGAGAATTAAAAATGTTTGGATTGGACTAGGAAAACTGTCACTTGTGACCTTTAAGAGAATAGCTTCAGAAAGGGGGAGGAAAGAAGGATGACAGGCAGAATTAAAAAGGTTAGGACAGAAATGATAAAAGAAGTAGATGAAGCCTTAAGAGACCACCATTAATTGTAGTTTAGCGGTGAAAGTAAAAAAAGAAATTGGTTGATTGGGAGAAGGGAGTATACAGAGGAATAAAAAAAAAATCTAGAATGGGGGTCACCGGCGCCTGGTTGAAGGTAAAGTGAAACCATACTGAAAGAAACAATAATAACACATTAGTAGATGGAAGAAATGGAATCCAGAATATAAATAACTAGAAAAGACATCTTTCCTCTCTATTGGAGAGAATTTGAACAGCAATGCCTAAACAAATCTAAAGAAAGACTTTCTTTTAATGTTTTTTTTTTTTTTTTTTTTTTTTTTTTTT